TAGAATATCCTGAAGACTCAGAGGCTCCTAGGAGCCAGTCAGGGTCCAAACCTTTGTTTGGAATGGACAAGGTTTAGACACCTCAAGCCTGTCAAATCAATCTGTCCCAGCACAAGTATATTTTATCACTCAAAACTAGGACATCTAATCTTCTGATAAGATCTCTATCCATAGATTTCCCAAGCAGAATAGCTCAAATTTTTGAGACTATAATTTTATCCCACATATGAAAGAGCTGTTCCCCCCCTTTCTGGTTGAAATTCACTTATCTTCTGTCTACCTCCACCAGATTACAGCATGTTTTACACTGTGATATGTTTCATTATTTGTTATATCATTCAACATTTGAAGAACTCCAGAGAGCTGAATCAGTTAGATATTGCTATGCAACACACAACCACAAAAATCTCCATGGCAAACAATACTTAGAGTTTATTTTTCACTCTAGCACCTGTGAAGTGGCTATAATTGTTTTATGTCTGTTAGAAGCAGCTCTGTTCCATTTGTCTAATTTAAAGTACCCAACTACGGGGAGAGCAGAAGCTACTTGGGGTTCGTTTTTTTCTTAGCTATAAAGAACCATAAAAGGATAAGCATACATGCTTAATCTAATCATATGTCACGTCTCTACTCATGTCACATCTGTTAATATTCCACTGGCTAAAGCAAGTCACGTCACAAGGTCAAGCCTGAAATCTAAGGAAGGGGAAGTACATGCCACCAACTATATCAGGTGATGATAAAGGAATGGATGAATAATAAAACTATAAGTGTGTGAAGAATTGAGATGATTATTCTATCTACCACAGAGGCCATAATATAATTGAAAGTTTCAGGAAGTCTTTCAAACCCTGGCTTGGCCACCTACTTGTTTATAGACCTGGGTACAATTGCTCAACATACTCATTAGTTGGTTTTCTCATTTGTGAAAAGGAAATAAAATAATTACTTAGAATTTTGTTGTGATGATTAAAGACAATATATACGAAGGTCTTGGCACAGTGGTCTGATATAGGTATACAACAAATGATAAAACTTATTATCATAATATTGAAGAAGATGCAGAGCTTCCTCCTTAGAAATACTAATAAAGATGATAGTAGCTGATATTTATTGTTCATTATGTCCCTTCTATTATCCTAAACACTTAACATAACAGGTAGGTACTCTTTCACACCATTTTCTGTGTGAAAAAAAGGTGAGGAAAGTTAAGGAACATGCAAAAAAATTAGCTTTCATTGTATCTCAAACAACTTCACAGCCAAGTCACTTAAAATGAGAATTGTTTATTTAGATCATGATTTTATGGGTCAGCAATTAGGGCTGGTTCAGCTAGGTGTTTTTTTCTGGACTCATCTGGATTCAGGTCTATATCTCTGTAGTCCACTGCCTGGTTGCCTAAAGATACCTAGTCTAGGATGGCCTCAGCTGAAATGGCTCACCACCGTTGCATGTGATCTCATCCTCTTGCATGAGAGCCTGGGCTTGTTTACCTGGTGGCTAGGAAGGTTCCAAGAGAACAAGTGAGAAAACTTGCGGGAGACCTAGGCTTTTAACTGATGCATCATCACTTTTACTTCATTCTATTGACCAAAGCAAGACACAAGGCCAGCCCAGATTCAGGCAATGGGGAATAGAATCTGCCTCTTAATAAGAAAGATGCAAAGTCACATTACAAAGATTATAGCTACAAGGAGTAATAAAGGATCATGACTAATTTTGTAATTTACCCCAGTCTGCCTCTGGCCCCAATTTTTCACCTTTCTGCCTATGCCAAATATTCTCTTCCTATCCCAGGATCCATAAAAGTCACCTGGAACTGTGACTTCAGGCTCGAATTCTATTATCAAATACAATTATTCAAATAAAATCCAGATGAATCTCATCAAATGTGAATGTTTCTTGATCAAGAGACTCATGACATAAGTTACCTGTTCCATGAACATCCAACACTGTTGATAGAGAGATAGGGTAACTTTGATAAATACTATCAATTTAAAAAAGGAAAAAAAATGGGAGATATATAGCAAGTACTGGTCCATAGTGATTTTAACATCTAGGCAGGAAAATATTGTTAGGCTCCTCTAACTGGGAGTGTAACTATTCCTTAAGGAAAGGTTAGACTCTTTTGGGGAGTGCTTCCCCAGTTGTTTGTTCTTCATAGCTATTAGCTCCACTCTCTGGGATCTTAACTCTGCTATCTAGAACATTCTGCCTTTTCAATTTCCTTCCTTAGCCTTTTGGAAAACTTTCTTAGTCTGCTTTCTGATAATAGAGAGTTGAGAGTCCAGAGGCCCTTTTTCAATTTAAGTCATTCTTTTTAGATCCTGGTTGATGGCACTTTTATGTATAACATTTCTTCTAAATCATTGTGAACTTACTATAAGTTTAATTTGTGCCTATTCTGTTTGTTAGAAAGCCATATTCTGATTGTTTTCAAGACATGCTTTCCTGTATGGACTTAATTACTGTGCTTTGGGGTTGGGCTTCTGTGAGACCATGCTCTTAGGAACCTAAGGAGCCATTTTTCAGTTTGAGAGAGTCTACCAGACAACATAAAATTTCTGAGATTTCTTAGCAAAGAATCGTGGAGCTGCACCCTTGAATTAATGTTTTCTTCATTCCTCTTTTTACTTTGAGAGTTTTTACTGGATGGAAAGACAGAAGATAAGAAACAATTTCATTTTCCCACCCAGAAAATTCTGTCCCCTCTGTGTTCCCTCAAAATTCTCCTTGCAAGCTGGCCAGTTCTTTATTTAGACCATTTCTTTCTTCTTGTACCTATATGTAGCTAGGACCAACCATCTGACATTTCAACATTCTGTGAAGGTCTCTTTAGCCAAAATCAAAAGTTCATTATCTACATTGGCCATCTTTCAAGTTTCGATAGGCAACACTTTTGCCAATTATTTTATTCTAAAACATACAGATCACCATTTTTTCCAACCTCCAATAACAATTTGCTTTATTTTTTTTCAGCATTTGCTAAGAGTTTGTTTGCCATTTTTCCATCCTCTGCTCAGTGCTTACTGCCAATGGCACTTATTTTAGATTTTTGTTATGGCAGCACCTCAATTCTAGGAACCAATTATTTCTGCATCAGTTAGCTTTTGCCATGTTAAAAAAAAAACCCACAAAACTTAGCAACTTAAAACAACCATTTTTTAATTTTTTTTTTTTTTTTAGCTCATCACCCTGCTGGTCATTACTGTAGGCTGGGCTTATGTCTGCAGCCAGCTGCCAGGTCAGATGGGGACTGGCTGGTCTTGAATAGCCTCAGCTGGGGCTGTTCATTTGGGTTCTATGTGCTTTCTCATCACCCTACAGGATAGCCTGGGCCTAATCTCATGATGACGAATCAGGGTTCCAAGAGAATAAACAGAGGAGGCAAGCTAAGCTTTTTGAGACTTGGAACTGGTACACTGTCACTTCTGCCACATTTTATTGACCAAAACAACTCACGGGGCAAGCCAAAATTTAGGAGAATGGAAAATGGACTCCAGCTTTTACATTGTAAAGAGCCTAGATAAGCAGAGTGCAGAAAAACTAGGACTCTTTTTCCAACGTACCATACCTCTCCCTATCCATAAATCTTATTTCAATCACTGTCTTCTCAGAAAAACACTATAAAATACTTATTATGCCTTGTGAAAGCATGACTGTGGCCTCACCAAAAATTTTCTGCTTCCCTGAGGATAAATGCTGATTTTGACCACACAGCTTGCCCCTGTATGTATTAGCATCCTGGTTTCAATTCTCCTCTCTACTCTGCGTGTGTCAGTAGGCAGTTCTCAAGTTGACTCTTACCTACACGCCTCCCTCTGGCATGACTCTAACTGGTTGGATCCACACCTGGGGATTTATCTGTCTTTGAATGGCTTCTGATCTTGATCCACGTCATAATCATTGTTAGTACCAATCAGCCTGTTGTTGGAAGGGAGGCCCACCTAACTCATTCCTGCAAGTTCCATCTCAGTGGTGAACATGGTGCAATGTCCCTGCTTCCATTATGCACTGTCTTCTGATTAGCTTAGCTACTGGGATTTTCTCCTGAGTTACAAGTTATCTAATGAAATATGATGATACATTATGTAATTTTATTTTCTTAATTTTGATTTTATAATCTATAGAGGGAAACAAACCTAACTTTTATTGATTCTTATATTTCATCCTCTAAATTTCTTTCATTTAACATTTTTGCTTAGAAAGTACATGGGGGGGGTTAAACCAACATGAAGTGACAGGGCTTCAAAAAAATAGAAATCACTTAGATTATCCTTTGGTATAACAGAAATTAATAATTAATTGATCTACCATCTGGTCAATAAATAATTAATTTGTTAATAATTAATAAACCTACCTGCTGGTCAATTTCATCAAGATCCCACAGAAAAAAGGCTCATGTTGATTTCTTACAGTGGTAGAAGTTTATGCAAGAATAAAAATCTGCTCCATCAATCATACTGTAATTCCAGAGGTACAAACATCTAAATACAAACATATTGAGAGAGTTGCTTATATTTCTTTGGAGAAGCACCCTGAGCTGAGTGATGAACCCTGTATTTATACTCTGGTCATATTGGTTTGACATGCCCAACAGTCAGAGCTTCTATTGGGCAGAGTTCATGAGCACTATTTCAGAAGGAGCCTATATCATATATGCTTATATATGATTTTTACAGTAGTCTCTGGCCTAATCCTCTGTGGCTAAGGTAGCACTTGGCTTAATACCACATATATGCTCTACGGTGTAATATGAAACAACTAAAAGTAGAGAAAAATTTGTTGAAGATAGTTCTTCAAGGACATCTAGTTTATAACAATAAACTGAACTTAAAAACAGGTCTTTAAGCCATGAGTTAGTATTAGGCCTAAAGACCTGTTTTTAAGTCCAGTTTATTGTTATAAACTAGATGTGAAGCTTTGGTTACTTCTTTGGATTTCAATTCTTCAATCTTTATTAACTTTGATTTTTGTCCTTTCATTTTGTGTTCTTATAGATTGTTCTTCTACAAAGGAGATATGGAACCTACCTGAGAAGGTTCAAAGAACTCAATGCTGAAGATACAGAATTATACCCAAATCCATACATTCATTAGGATAAAGAATAAAATTGCAGTGTGTGTCTCAAGATCTATTTAGAACTCCATTCTATATTTACATGTGAATACTTTTTCTATGACTTTTTTCTTAAAGCATAAAATAATGTTGAGATGATTCTGAATATTTCAAGTTAAGGAAATTTTGCAAGAATCCTTTATAGTTCATAGAAGCACACACAGACACAAATTTATTCCTCTATTTAATTCACATTTGTTGATCTGTAGTATAGATGATAAAAAGGATATCCTCTTACATAATATTAATAGTTTCACAAGCATCACCAAGAATTTTACTGCCAAGCAAGCAAAATATTCACACACGTACACACACACACACACACACACTTGCCTTCTTTTAGTAGAAAATATCTCTCATTCTGATTTGATTCATTGAATTAAAGGATTCTGTTACAAAATTGAGAAATAATTGTACAGTATTTTAGAGAGTAGCTAATGCAAAATCAATACGTTATACTTTTCTTATTGCCCCTGATACAATATTTAACAAACCACTATTTATTTTTGGAATAATGGTAATGCAATTGACAAGCCATCGGGATAAACAGATATGTTTAGGTATATAGATGATAGAAATTGCTTATTATACTAATACACCCACTTCAATTTGAGCTCCACTGGAAAAATCAATGCTTAGAAAATGCAAAAGGAAACTATAACTACAACAATTTTTTAAATGTCTAAGATATTACATGATTATGTTTCAGCAAGCAAAACAGAATAGGGATAGCTTTTTCCCTTGAAAAAGCTAAATATAGTCCTAAACTAAAGTTGCATATAATTAAAAATATATTTTCATTCATCTGTGTTCTCTGGCCTTTACTGTCATTAAGTAAAATATCTAAGAATTTGAAACTAAAAATTGAAGAATGGTTCAACTTTAAAATGAAACAATCTCAAAACAAACTCCTTTATTTTTAACTCCATGAAATATTTGTTTTGCTTCATGCATGTTAGTGTATAGGTTTTCCTCCTTGAATCCCCAATTTAAAGTTAAACAAAATTTAAACATTTCATTCTCAGCATGTAACCCTAGGAATTAAATAACATGGTGACATGAGAAGACGCTCATGTGGCAGGCCTCTCTTTCTACCTAAGACCAACCTGCAATATTCTCCTGCATCACACCTCAAGATGATATCTGGTCAAAATCCTTATTTGTCTACGAAGTTCATCCAAGAAATAAACATTTCTTCTAATCTCTTAGCTGTAAAGTAAATGAGCTGTCTGAACAATTATGATTTTACAGACTCAAACTAGAATGCCTAAAGGTCCATAACAAAGTTAGCCTAGAGGTCTTGCCAAAGATGCATGAAGGTTAACGTGGCTCTTGTCCTTTGGTGGGGACATGGCACCCACGACATTAGGAGCAAAATCAAGCTCCCGTTTCTGGATGTATGATGGAAGCCATCCAGGATTCATGGAGGTCATAAACAGACTCAGGAAAAATTCAGGATTTTGGAGTTCTCTAAGCCATGAAGCAATATGCTTCTAAGAAGAATCATCTGCCACTCAGGTCTTCTCTATTCAGATCAGGAAAAATGTTTGAATGGGAGCAGTTCAATTCAGATGAGAATGTGGTGAAGCAGTTTGAGAATTCTCTCAGTTTGGTCTGTTACACATGGTGCATCATCTTTGGGTTTTTAAGGTTCTGTCTAGGAAAGATATATAGAATGCAACATGTCATAAAGGTAACTGGAATAATTGGCAAATTATGTTATCCTACTTATTAAGGACATGGAATCCAGAATCTAATTTCATTGATAATTATGGAATTCCAGCAAAATTTTATAGTTGATTTATATGTACCTACTTATATTTAAGAGACAAGTATTCATCTCAATTTTATCATTTATAGTAGATCTCATGTGGGAAAGAAACATCAACATTAAAACTGGTTTAGGTAGCTTGCTGAGAGACCTATTTTCCTTTAAAGTTACATAGTCACAAAGAAGGAAACTATATTAGTGTGATTAATTATAGAAATAATCTGTCCTTTTTGGAACATGCGTAGGTTTACCAGATATACCTTACAATACCTAGGCATCTGCCCCTACTCTCTGGAACAGGTAGCAAGTTATAATTACAATCCAAGTATAAAAAGGAAAATATTAATAACTTTTTTATTAATTTTATAATTAATTTATTTAATATTAATAATTTTTTATTAAAGAGCAAATCGATTGTAATAGTAGTACTGGTACTTTGATAAGCTTTTTGTGTCAGGAAGAATTATGAATTTTACTTAGTCATATTTCTGTCACAGTTTTTTGAGTCTCAAACCTGGAACATTTTCTGAAAATATTAAAAACACCTGAAAGTGAATTGTTTGACATTTTCAAATGTGTCTTTACTAGTCTGCTAGTGGTTGTACTAACTAAGGTGCACATAAGCAACAGTTTTTTTTTTATGTAGTTAAACATGATTCCTACATATGAGAAAGAATATCTCTTGAATTCTTTCATTGGACTTCATGGTTCATTGAGTAACATACAAAGAATAGCACCAATTTTTATTTATAATATCTTTCTAATATCTTTATACAATGAAACAAGTGGTTCTAATAAGTGCTTTTATTTTTTAAGCAATATATGTGCCCATGGACATTCTCTAGTTATTTTGGTAAACTTAGAGCAGATATTTCTAATAGTATTTATGAAGTGTGGTTAATCTTAAGAATTAAGTTTTCATAGAACAGGTTATGCTGTTAAGATTTGTTTAATTTTTCAAAGTAACATGACACTTTTGTATCTATATTCATTTGAAAATTCTATTGAAAAATAAAAAGGTCAGATCTGCCCACCCAAACATTAAAAAAAATATAAGGTGACTAAATCTCATAAAATATCTCATTTTGTGAGTAAAATGTTTTCCTTCCAGAACATATGAAATTTAATAAAATATTCTTAGATATTATAGAAAAAAGTATCTCTAATTTCTAACTAGAAAGGATATGTGTATATGGAGAGAGATGCAAATCTGTGAACTAGAAGGAAGCAGGGTTTATTGTCCATGTTGATTATTGACTTGTTCCCATGTTGAAATTCATGTAATGTGAGTTATTATGTTTAATTACCAATGTCTAATATGAGCTTACTATGTGACAATCATTTTACATGGATTTACCTCTCATAACAAACCTCAGACCTATACTACTAAAACAGCATTTTAAAATGAGACTTCCATTACCTGGGTTTTGGCTGAAGTCCTAATATAATAGATGACAGGTACCCACCACTCCAAAGTGAAGCACCAAATCACCTTTGGAGGCCAATCCAAAGAAGTGGCTTTAGGTAAGTTTAGCAATTCTTATCCATCACCCACCTTAGGCTATAGAAATAAAAGGCTAAAAATTCATTCAGAGAGATAAGACATTAAAGACCTGAATTCTATGAGGAGAAAATTCATGAGACATGCATTTCCTCCTTTTACCTACTGGACATATTTCAATCTCAACTCAAGTGAAAGGGGACTCTAAGAGTTCAATATGCATTTTTCAAATGTGAGGCTATGTAATAGACTGGTGTTTAGCTATGACCTAGAAATGTCAAGGCTGACTGAGGCTGTCTGACTGAGGAAGAGGATGTGAGGAAGCCACATGGGGAGAAAACCAACCTTCCTTGATAGTAGGGCAAAGGTATACTTCTATGGATTTCAGGTAAACTATCCTCTTTCTTTCTCTTTCTTTCTTTCTTTTCTTTCTTTCTTTCTTTCTTTCTTTCTTTCTTTCTTTCTTTCTTTCTTTCTTTCTTTCTTTCTCTCTCTTTCTCTCTCCTTCCTTCCTTCCTTCCTTCCTTCCTTCCTTCCTTCCTTCCTTCCTTCCTTCCTTCTTCCTTCCTTCTCCTTCCTTCCTTCCTTCCTTCCTTCCTTTCTCTCTCTCTCTCTCTTTCTTTCTCTTTCTTTCATATGGCGTCCCCCTCTGTTGCCTGGGCTAGAGTGCTGTGGCGTCAGCCTAGCTTACAGCAACCTCAAACTCCTGGGCTCAAGGGATTCTCCTGCCTCAGTCTCCTGAGAAGCGGGAACTACAGGCATGCACCACCACATATACATTTGTTTGTGATACTGTATATAAAATTAACACAAAATTATGGGCTTAAAACAACACTTATTTATTATCTCCAAGTTTTGCAGGTCTAAAGTCCAGGTGGGTTTTGTTGGTGTCTCTGCTCTGGGTCCCACACACAGATGAAATCAAGGTGTTGGCCATGGGCTCTGATCTGGCAGCTCTGGAAATTGTTCTGTTGCTAAGCTCATCCAGGTTATTGGCAGAGTTCAGTTCAGTGTGTTTACAGGACGGAGGCCCCTGTTTTCTTGCTGGCTGTCACAGGGAGTGCACTCAGCTCTTACAAGCCACTCTCAGATCCTTGCCCTATTGGCCCTTCCACCTCAGCAACAGAAAACTTCCTTCACATGGAATCCCCCTCTTCAAATCTCTGACTGCTACTTTGACTACCAGCCAGGAAAAACTCTCTGCTTCTAAATGGCTGATGTCATTAGAATTGATCCAACAGGAAAATCTCCCTTTTAATGAACTCAAAGTCAACTGATTAGTAAACTTAATTACATCTATAAAATCCATTTTTCCATGCAATATAACAAATCATGGGTGTGATATCTGATGATATTCTCAGTTTTGGGTCTTAGAGCCATTTTGGAATTCTGCCTATCATACCATGTGACAGGAAGCTGGCCAGGGATAAGCCAACCCCAAGAAAGAGAGGCTACCGTTGTAACATTGGGAGTTCTAGACTATTAACGAATATAACTATTTTCTTGATAAAATGATATTATATGTGTACATTCATTATTATCTGGAGTTGGAATGAACAGTTGCATTTACACACACTGATTATTTTGGAGACTATGCCTAAGTCATTTAAATGCTTCGATATACACTTTAAATTGCTAGTAGAAGAATGTGTTAATCAGGATAAGCTTAAGTTATGCTACAAAAACAAACAATCCCCACATTCTTAAGGACCTAAAACTAGAAAAGT